GGGGAGGGGGAGGGAGCGCGGGGAAGGGGGGGGGGGGGGGCGGGGGAAAGGGAGCGCGGGGGGGAAAGAGAGCGGGGGGGAAAGAGGGGCGGGGGAAGGGGGGAGCTTGGGGGGGGGGGGGCGTGGGGGGGGAGCCTGGAAGAGCTGGGGGAGAGGGGGGGGGGGGGAGCGGGGGGGGTGGGCATGGGAAGAGAGTGTGGGGAAAGAGAGCCTGGGGGGGAGGGGGCTTGAGGAAAGAGGCGTGGGGAAAAAGAGCCTGGGAGGGGGGAGAGGGGGGGGGGGGGAAAGAGAGGGGGGAGGGGGAGAGCGGGAGAAAGAGAGAGTTGGTGAAGGAGGAGGGGGGGGAAGGGGGGGAGAGCCTGGAGAAAGAGAGCTTTGGAAAGAGAGCCTGAGGGGGGGGGGGAAGAGAGGGGGGGAAAGAGAACGTAGAGGGGGGGGAGAGCTTGGGGAAAGAGAGCGTGGGGAAAAAAAGAGCCTGGGGAAAGAGAGCATGTGGAAAGAGAGCATGTGAGGAAAGAGAATACAGGAAGAGGGGTGTGGGAAATGGAGCGTAGGGGAGGGGGGGAGGGGGGGGGAGCGTGGGGAAACACAGCATGGGGAAAGAAAGGGGGGGGGGGAAGGAGAGCGGGGGGGAGGGGGAGGCATGGGGGGGGGGGGGAGGGGGGGGGGAAAGAGATCGTGCAGGGGGAGAGGGATGCAGAAAGGGAGCACGGGGGTGAACACACACAAAGAGGTGGGGGGGGGGGAGAGAGTGTGGGAAAAAGAGCATGTGGGAAGAGGAGCATGGGGGGGGGGAGAATACAGGAAGAGTTTGTGGAAAATGGAGGGGGGGGAAAGAGGGGGGGGGGAAAAGGAGCATGGGGAAAGGGAGAGCCTGGGGGGTGGGGGGGCATGAGGAAAGGGGGGGGGGAGCCTGGGGGGGGAGCCTGGGGGAAAGAGAGTGTGGGGGGGGGGGGGCACGTGGAAATAGGGGGGGGGGGGGGGGGGAGAAAGAGAGCATGCGGGGGAGAGGGGGGGGGGGAAAAGATAGCATGGGGGGGGAGGGGGGGGGAGAGAGTGGCAAAAAAGAGCACACAGAAATAGAGGGGGGGAGAAAGGAGGGGGCGGGGGAGAGCATGGAGGAGACTGGGGGGGGGGAGGGGCTTGCAGAAATAGAGCATGGAAAAAGAGACTGTGTGGAAAGAGAGCATGGAGAAAGAGAGTACGTGGAAAGAGAGCAGGTGCAAAGAGACTATACAGAAAGAGAGCGTACGGAAAGAAAGCATGGAGAAAGAGAGCATGCAAGAAGAGAGGGGGGGGGGGAAAAGGGGGGCAGAAAGAGAGCGGGGGGAGAAAGACTGTGGGGAAAGGGAGCAGGGGAAAGGGGGGGGGGGTGGGGGAAAGAGGGAGCATGCAAGAAAATCGGGGGAGGGGGGGGGCGTGCGGGGGGAGAGCGGGGGGGGGGGGGGGGACTGTGTGGAAAGACAGCGTGGGGAAAGAGACCATGTGGAAAGAGAGCATGCAAGAAGAGAGCATGGAGAGAGAGAGCATGCAGAAAGAGAGGGGGGGGAGACTCTGTGGGGGGGAGCATGGTGGGGGGAGAGCATGCGGGGAGAGCATTGGGAAAAAGAGGTGCGGAAAGAGAGCATGGGGGGGGAAAGAGATCATGTGGAAAGAGAGCGTGTAGAAAGAGACCATGTAGAAAGAGAGCGTGGAGAAAGACCATGTAGAAAGAGAGCGTGGGGGGGGGGGGGAGCATGCAAAAAGTGAGCGTGCGGGGGGAAAGAGCATGCAAAAAGAGAGGTGCGGGGGGGAGCATGCAAGAAGAGACCGTGTGGGGGAGCATGGAGAAAGAGACTGTGCGGGGGAGAGAGTGTGGGAGAAAGAGGGGCGGAAAGAGAGGGGGGGGAGAAAGAGAGCATGCAAGAAGAGAGCTTGTGGAAAGAGATGCAGGAAGAGTGTGGGGTGCAGGAAGAGAATGTGTGGAAAGAGAGCATGCAGAAAGAGAGCGTGCAGGAAGAGAGCATGGGGAAAAAGGGCATGCATGAAGAAAGTGTGCAGAAAGACAGCATATGGAAGGAGAGTGTGCATAAAGAGAGTGTGTGGAAAGGGGGTGTATGGGAAGAGATGGTGGGGGGAAAAAAAAGCACATGGAACAAGAGTGTGCAGGAAGAAAGCATGAGGGAAAAGAGCATGCAGGAAAAGAGTGTGTTGAAAGACAGCTTGTGGAAAGAGCGCACAGGAAGAGAGCCGTGTGTGAAAAGAGTGGGGGGGGGCATGTGGAAATACAGCGTATGAAAAGAGAGCGTGCAGGGGGAGATTGTGCGGAAAGAGAGCATGGAGAAATTGTACATGTGGGAAGAGAGCATGCAGGGGGGAGCAGGAAGTGAGCGCACAGTAAGAGAGCATGTGGAAAAACAGTGTACAGAAAGATAGCAAGTGGAAAAAGAGCATGGAGAAAGGGGGACCGCGCGGGGGGGAGAGTGTGGGGAAAGAGATCATGCGGAAAGAGAGCGTGGAGAAAAAGACCATGTGGAAAGAGAGCATGCTGAAAGAGAGTGTGGAGAAAGAGAGCACGCAGAAAGAGAGTGTGTGGAGAAAAAGAGCATGCAGGGAAAGAGAATACAGGAAGAGAGTGTGTGGAAAGGGAGCAGGTGGAAAGTAAGCGTATGCAAAGAGAACTTGCGGGAAGAGAGCATTCGAAAAAAAGAGAATGCAGGAAGAGAGTGTGTGGAAAGGGAGCATGTGGCAAGGCAGCTTTCAAGAAGAGAGCATGCAGAGAGAGTGTGTGGGAGAAGAGCGTGGAGAAATAGTACATGTGGGAAGAGAGCGTGCAGGGGGGATCAGGAACAGAGTGCACAGTAAGAGAGCTTGTGGAAACATAATGTACGAGGAGACAACATGCAGAAAGAGAGCATGCAGGAAGAGAGTGTGGGGGGGAGAGTGTGCAGGAAGAGAGCGTGCAGGAAGAGAGACGGTGGAAAGAGAACGTGCAGGAAGAGAGAGGGTGGGAAAAGAGTGTGCAGGATTAGAGAGGGGGGAAGGAAGAGAGAGTGTGCAGGAAGAGAGAAGGTGGGAAGAGAGTGTGCAAGAACACAATGTGCGGGAAGAGAGCATGCAGGAAGAGAGCATGGGGAAAAAGAACATGCAAGAAGAAAACGTGCAGAAAGTGTGGGGAAAGATAGCATGCGGAAGGAGAGTGTGAGTAAAGAGAGCATGTGGGAATGTGCGGGAAGGAAATACAGCAAGAGAGTGTGTGGAAAGGGAGTGTATGGGAAGAGAGCGTGTGGAGGAAAGAGCATGTGGAAAGAGAGTGTGCAGGAAGAGAGCATGAGGGAAAAGAGCATGCAGGAAGAGAGTGTGTGGAGAAAAGAGCATGTGGAAAGAGAGTGTGCAGGAAGAGAGCATGAGGGAAAAGAGCATGCAGGAAGAGAGTGTGTGGAAAGACAGTGAGTGGAAAGAGAGCGCACAGGAAGAGAGCATGCGGGAAAAGAGAGGAAAGGACAGCGTATGCAAAGAGAGCGTGTGGGAAGAGATTGTGCGGGAAAAGAATGGGAAGGACAGCGTATGTACAGAGAGCGTGTGGGAAGAGAGCACACAAGAAGAGAGCATGCAGGAAAAGAGAGGAAAGGACAGCGTATGTACAGAGAGCGTGTGGGAAGAGATTGTGTGGGAAAAGAGTGGGAAGGACAGCGTATGTACAGAGAGCGTGTGGGAAGAGATTGTGTGGGAAAAGAGTGGGAAGGACAGCGTATGTACAGAGAGCGTGTGGGAAGAGATTGTGCGGGAAAAGAATGGGAAGGACAGCGTATGTACAGAGAGCGTGTGGGAAGAGAGCACACAAGAAGAGAGCATGCAGGAAAAGAGTGGGAAGGACAGCGTATGTACAGAGAGCGTGTGGGAAGAGATTGTGTGGGAAAAGAGTGGGAAGGACAGCGTATGTACAGAGAGCGTGTGGGAAGAGATTGTGCGGGAAAAGAGTGGGAAGGACAGCGTATGTACAGAGAGCGTTTGGGAAGAGATTGTGCGGGAAAAGAGTGGGAAGGACAGCGTATGTACAGAGAGCATGTGGAAAGAGAATGTGTGGAAAGACAACATGCAGATAGAGAATGTGCGGGAAAAGCACACACACCTTTATCTTTGCACTCTGGGAAGAATACCAGCTTGGCAGTGAAGTGTTGGGTGAACTTAAAGGTTGCTATACAATCCGATTGTGCAATCTCCTTTCAGTTCATCATACACTATACAATCTGATTGTACAATCCTGATTTTTTCTTTAACGCACTTGAAGTTTGTTTCTCTCAAATCAGCGAACAATGGAATAGCCAGAACTTCCCTCCCAACTGATGTAGATCAGATTAGATCAAACTGAGTCGATCGGCCAGGGTGGATATTAATCGATTTTGTTGAACGGATATACTTTGTTCATCAATACAATCGTATTTCGATTGCTCAGGTTATGAGATCACATGGTGGAAACAGAGATGCAATCCATAACTTGCAGCGTAGGGGTGCACTGGTACCCCCCCCCCCCCTTTTTTTTTTTTACTCGGTGAGTACGAGTACCGATCCTCTGTGGTGCGATTTGCAACCATACAAAATAAATAGGCGCAAATTGCACTGCAAAGAACAGCATGCGGTTTGAGCAGCAATGTAGTGCAGTTCCTGTCCAAATCTCCCGCGGTTTCCCCTCTGCTCCTGTGTGAACCCGGGCTTGTCACAACCAAAAGTCGATTCACAGGTTTGGGGGATTTAAAATCCCCGCCTCTCCCTGCAAGGATGACAGTACTTCTGATTGGTCAGCACCGACCAATCAGACGTAGTGTATGACATCACATCGATAAATGATCTATTTCTTTTCCATCTGATCTCTCCCTATAGGAGTAATCGATGTAAATAGTCGACGACCCAATCATTCAATACGCCACACGTGGGGGAAAGCTGGCCATAGATGGATAGAATGTCAAACGAAAAGGAAAATTCTCCAAATATTTTCAGAACATTTGTTTGTCGAACCAAAGATGATGGGTGCTGTTAAAATTTGATTTTGGAATCGAGGGATTTCACCCAATGAACACCGCATACACTATATTACTGAGCGTATTGTCCCCGCCCTCCCAATCATGTGATTCAGGTGTTCCAATCCCTTCCCAATCATGTGATTCAGGTGTTCCAATCCCCTCCATATCATGTGATTCAGGTGTTCCAATCCCCTCCATATCATGTGATTCAGGTGTTCCAATCCCCTCCATATCATGTGATTCAGGTGTTCCAATCCCTTCCCAATCATGTGATTCAGGTGTTCCAATCCCCTCCATATCATGTGATTCAGGTGTTCCAATCACCTCCATGGTCACAGGTGTATACAATCAAGCCCCTAGGCATGCAGACGGCTTCTACAAACATTGGTGAAAGAATGGGTCGCTCTCAGGAGCTCAGTGACTCCAAGCGTGGTCCCGTGATAGGTGGCCACCTGGGCAATAAGTCCATCCGAGACATTTCCTGGCTACTAAATATTCCACGCTCAACTGTTAGTGGGATTATAACAAAGTGGAAGCAACTGGGAACAACAGCCACTCAGCCACCAAGTGGTAGGCCACGTCACATGACAGGGTGGGGTCAGCGCATGCTGAAGCGCACAGTGCGCAGAAGTCACCAACTGTCTGCAGAGTCAATAGCTAAAGACCTCCAAACTTGGTGTGGCCTTCAGATGAGCCCAACAACAGTGTGTAGAGAGCTTCATGGAATGGGTTTCCATGGCCGAGCAGCTGCATCCAAGCCTTACATCACCAAGTGCAATGCAAAGCGTCGGATGCCGTGGTGTAAAGCACGCCGCCACTGGACTCTAGAGCAGTGGAGACATGTTCACTGGAGTGACCAATCACACTTCTATGTCTGGCAACCCGATGGACGTGTCTGGGTTTCACAGTTGCCAGGAGAACAGTACTTGCCTGACTGCATTGTGTCAAGTGTAAAGTTTGGTGGAGGGGGGATTATGGTGTGGGGTTGTTTTTCAGGGGTTGGGCTTGGCCCCCTAGTTCCAGTGAAGGGGACACTTAATGCGACATTTTGGACAATTTCATGCTCCCAACTTTGTGGGAGGAGTTTGGGGATGGCCCCTTCCTGTTCCAACATGACTGCCCACCAGTGCACAAAGCAAGGTCCATAAAGACATGGAGGAGCCAGTTTGGGGTGGAGGAACTTGACTGTCCTGCACAGAGTCCTGACCTCAACCCCATAGAACACCTTTGGGATGAATTAGAGCGGAGACTGCGAGCCAGGCCTCCTCCCCCGACATCAGTGCCTGACCTGACAAATGTGCTTCTGGAAGAATGGTCCAACCTTCCCATAGACACCCTCCTAAACCTTGTGGACGGCCTTCCCAGAAGAGTTGAAGCTGTTATAGCTGCAAAGGGCGGGGCCAACTCAATATTGAACCCTACGGACTAAGACTGGGGGGCCATTAAAGGTCATGTGTGTGGGAAGGGCGGGGCCAACTCAATATTGAACCCTACGGACTAAGACTGGGGGGCCATTAAAGGTCATGCGCGTGGAAAGGCCGGCCGACCAATATTTTTGGTAATATAGTGTACACTACCAAATTAAAAAAGAAGAAAAAAAGCGCCACTTACAAAAAACACCAAAGTGTCAGCAGCATATCCCACCCAAAATAAATTTTGGCAACAATAATCCAAATTAAAAGGTATGCGCTAATAACAAACTTATACAAAAGTGTATATCATCATCCAAAAAACATTAGTGTTTTAAATAAATTAGAGTGTCCAAACATAAATTAGTGTCCAAAAAAAAATATATATATCTTCAGTGACTTGAACCAATTGTGAGAAATCCACCACCAAAGGAGATTAAATGAACTCACCAGAGCTAATGGCTGGTCAGATTATAAAGCAGCAACAGCGCTTGTGCTCTGGGAGCGATGACCCCCGATGTCCACATAGATATGGTGATGTTTCAGATACTTCCAGATAATAATCACAGCCAAACAACTTTGCAGCCCAAGCTCCTATGATGAACTTCTCCACTCTGTCTCATACCTCCATGAGAGCATGCAGTACACTCAGGGACAAAAAAGAGAACATAATGGTGCAATACGTTTTTTTTTTTCATTTATCTCTTTAATAAAAAAGGTATAAGGAAACTCACAAACAAGGTGTCCAACAGACAGCAGCTTCAATCGCAAAAAAGGGTTGAGATACAGTTAACGCTCACCGCAGATCTCTCCCATACAGCACAGACCAGCAAGGCTCTCATGGAGGTATGAGACAGAGTGGAGAAGTTCATCATAGGAGCTTGGGCTGCAAAGTTGTTTGGCTGTGATTATTATCTGGAAGTATCTGAAACATCACCATATCTATTTGGACATCGGGGGTCATCGCTCCCAGAGCACAAGCGCTGTTGCTGGTTTATAATCTGACCAGCCATTAGCTCTGGTGAGTTCATTTAATCTCCTTTGGTGGTGGATTTCTCACAATTGGTTCAAGTCACTGAAGATATATATATTTTTTTTGGACACTCTAATTTATTTAAAACACTAATGTTTTTTGGATGATGATATACACTTTTGTATAAGTTTGTTATTAGCGCATACCTTTTAATTTGTAATATAGTGTACACTGTTAGAAATTCTGGAAAAATCTTCCATCCGGCTTTCAAATTTTCTCATCACTGCAGTTGAAAAAAATTAGAATTTGATTTGAGTTGAAAAAATAACTTTTTTTAGAATATTATTTTGTGTTCAAAGTTCCGCCCATCTATGGCCAGGCAAAGTGGATTTCAATTGATCATTAGAAGAAACGGTTGTAAATAATTGATCGAATCTCAGTTTTTATCTGTAAGCTCCCAATCCAATCTGTGGAAATACAATCAGATTCACTCGGTGACAGGGGCGGACTGACCATTTGGAAACTCGGGCACTGCCCGAGGGCCCGGGGTCAGTAGGGGGCCCCATGAGATGCCCCTGGTACCTTTTTCATAGGCTTTTTTCAGTTTGGGCCAGGACACAGGGGCCCCATGATCCCCTATTGCTCGGGGGCTCCATGAGTTGTCAGTCCGCCCCTGCAGGGGCCCCATGATCCCCTATTGCCCGGGGGCCCCATGAGTTGTCAGTCCGCCCCTGCAGTGGCCCCATGATCCCCTATTGCCCGGGGGCCCCATGAGTTGTCAGTCCGCCCCTGCAGGGGCCCCATGATCCCCTATTGCCCGGGGGCCGCATGAGTTGTCAGTCCGCCCCTACCGGGGCCCCATGATCCCCTATTGCTCGGGGACCCCATGAGTTGTCAGTCCACCCCTGCAGGGGCCCCATGATCCCCTATTGCCCGGGGGCTCCATGAGTTGTCAGTCCGCCCCTGCAGGGGCCCCATGATCCCCTATTGCCCGGGGGCCCCATGAGTTGTCAGTCCGCCCCTGCAGGGGCCCCATGATCCCCTATTGCCCGGGGGCCCCATGAGTTGTCAGTCCGCCCCTGCAGGGGCCCCATGATCCCCTATTGCCCGGGGGCCCCATGAGTTGTCAGTCCACCCCTGCTCAGTGATGTATATTGATACAAAATGATCAATAGTTTTCCGCCATGGTCGAGTGACTCAGTTTGACTGAACAAGAAGTTGGAAGGGAAGTCGCGGCTATTCGATTTGTTTGCCGATACGATCGATCGGATAAATAAAATTGAACCGCGTATGGCTACCACAAGTCCAATAAACAAAAGGTGAATCCATTCATTGCATTACTATCATTATACAAGATTTATATCGCCAACAGTGTGTGCAGCGATGTACAATATAAAGGAAGATACAACACGTGAAGATGATGGGGATCCCTCTGGGGGCTCTGTATGGCCCAGAGTTCATCCAGAAAATTGGGGGAAATTTCAGCCAATTTTATCCCAAATTAGCAGACGCTGATTACCGTCACTGGAGCCTGAAGGGGAACAAATCAGGGCTGAGCAAGAAACAGAGGGAAATGCTGAGCGACTTTATATATATTATATATATATATATATATATATATCCCCAGTGACACCAATACAGTGATCAGTGTAAAAAAAAAAAACACTGACACTAATGGCACTGGGGAGGAAGGGGTTAACTTTATTATTCAGTGAAAGGGTTAAATGTGTGAGGGGAGTGTTTTACTAGGGGGCGGGGGTGTGTACTGCACGGAGACACACAGAACCGGTCAGATAAACTCTTCTCTCCCGATCAGCGTGTCAGGAGCTGTCAGGGAACTGACAGAAAGCACAGCTACTGCAGCTGTGCTCTCTGTCAGTGATTGCCGCTAATCGCCGGGACATAGCTGGTAACGACCGGCTGTGACCCCGCGACTGACATCTGCGGCCGTGATCGGCAGGACAGGTAGGGCGGTGGCACGCCTCGCATGCGCCCCCTACCTGTTTTGAAAACACACGTTTTAAAACTTGGTTTTGCCCAGCCGTGCCGCCCTGCCAACGTATTTCTACAGTGGCTGGGCGGCATGTGGTTAGCAGATTTTTTTGCCTGTCTCTTTTTTCTATTCTTCTTGCTGTGATTTATTCTAAAATAGTGAGGTTAATGGGGGGGGGGGGGGGGGGACTTTTTTGGCACAAGAAACGGTCTGGAATGGTTAGAAAGGAGCTTCTGCAACCTCAGGAGACCTTTTTTTTTTTTTTTGCCCATTGGTTCCTTAAACCAGAACTCTGGCCAAGAATAAAAATAAACGGCCCTAAAGATCAATAGTTAAAAATAATAATGAAAAAAAAAAACAAACAACCCATTGAAAAATGAAATGACAAAATCAGCTTTTACTGCAATATTCGGCTTCAGCCTACGGATTTCCACCGCAGTACTCTTTTGTGCCGCTAGATGTCCTCAGTCTGACAGCCAGTGTCATTCAACCCACTTCCTCTGAGCTCAGGTCATCCCGGACAAGCCCCCAGCCTGTGATTATTATTATTATACAGGATTTATATGCGCCAACGGTTTGCTCAGCTCTTTACATTGTAGTGGGAGGACAATTAAGGAAAATTAATAATAGCGCCTATGGTCAAAATTATATAACTTACTTATAGTGTACCAGCTGCAAAAAAATCACCATATATAAAGTGTAACAATTAATGCAATAAATAATTTGCGCTAGTAAATATATATAAATATATAAAAAAATCATCAAATCATAAGTCCAGAAAAAAATATATGCCAATACCACAAAAAAAGTGCAAAAAAAACTTTTTTTAAGTGCAAAAAACTTTTGTGCAAAAAAATGTCTAAATATGAAAAAATTTCACCAAAAAAAACCTTGATAATATGATGGCAGATCATCCATAGAGATATTTTCAGAAACGAAACTCTGCAACACACCAATCCTCATAGATCAAATAACAGGATGAAAAAAACTTTGCAATTAATCGGAAATCCACTTCTCCAAAAGAAAGAGACCACCTTCAATCGTAATCCATGGGGGGAAATGCCAGGCACTCGAGAGAAACAGAAAGACTTCATGGTGCAATATTATAAAAGCCAATTCCTTTATTAGGTACTCATTGCACTTACTCAAGAGGTGTCCCAGCCGACACCAGCATCAACAGCATGACAGCAATCACATAAAACGAGCCTGGCTACTCAGCACATGCGCAATAGCTGGCAGCCAAAAACGTAATGACGTCACATCAATCAAGCTCCGCCCTACGCGTTTCGTCATCGACGTCCTCACGGAGCGGGAGGACGTCCCCCCGCTCCGTGAGGACGTCAATGACGAAACGCGTAGGGCGGAGCTTGATTGATAAAAAATGTTGATTGGCTCTAGTTTCCATGATATATTCACCCATCTAATGACGTAAGCCATTCAAAATTATGATGC